AACGTCTTGTATTTCTCTCTTGGCATCCGTCACAAGAATACGAGGAAGGCCTTTTATATCGAGGTATTCCTATATTTCCGTGTCAGTTTCGTGTCGGTACGGATCCGGAAATGTATGTATACCTCAATATAAATCTAAAGAGACGTTATTTCTTTCATGGACGTATATGTCACGGTTACGGCACGGATATGTTAGGATCGACCTTTAAGGACTTCTCGGATACCTCGTATAACGGTATGAACTGGACAATCAAATTGTAGAATGTGTAATGTGACGTCGGTGTCGGTAATTAGATTTGGCCAGTTCTTAAGGTGATATGAAAGCGTCATTCTGTATATATATATTTTTTTTGAATATCAAAATCACCTCAAGATCAAGATTAGTCAACATCTAATAGTATCTAATAATTCTCTTTAACTTAGAAGTTTGACTTTGTGGCGGTTGATTTTTTTTTTAATTTTCAGTGGTCGTGATTTTTTTTGACGAGCAGGGATTTCCATTCTTTTTTCAAACTTGATTTTTGAAATTAAAATCACCTCAAGATGAAGCTTAGTCAACATCTAATAGTATATAATAATTCTCTTTAACTTAGATGTTTTACTTTGTGGCGATTGATTTTTTTTTAATTTTCAGGAGTCGCGATTTCTTTTGACGAGCAGGGATTTCCATTCTTTTTTCAAACATGATTTTTGAAATTAAAATCACCTCAAGATGAACATTAGTCAACATTTAATAGTATGGAATAATTCCCTTTAACCTAGAAGTTTCACTTTCTGGCGGCTGATTTTTTTTTTAATTTCCAGGGGTCGCGGTTGTTTTTTTGACGAGCAGGGATCTCCATTCTTTTTTCAATCGTGATTTTTGAATATCAAAATAACCTCAAGATCAAGAATAGTCAATATTTAATAGTATCTAATAATTCCCTTTAACCTAGAAGTTTCACTTTGTGGCAGTTGATTTTTTTTTTAATTTTCAGGGGTCGCGCTTTTTTTTTACGAGCAGCTATCTCCAGTCTTTTTAGGTCCCTGGTCATTCCGGCGCATAATTTCGATTTCAAGCCTCGGGTGGTGGGCCGAGGATGACTAGAGGCAGTCGCTCGCGCCGCTCGGCGAGTGCCTTTCACTTCATACGGCGCGGCGAGTGCGCGCCGGTAGCCCGAGGACTCTGTTAGGCGAGTCGCTCGCGAGTGCGCGATATGTCGCGATATATTGTCCCCGGACACTTGGGACGGCGTATCGGGGAGCATAAGGCCGAAGGCCGAGTCTGCCTTTTTCCTCCCCTGCCCCCCTGGAGGTCTCGGATAGTATGTGGAGCGTGAATTGACGTATAGCACCCCTTTTATGCGGGAACATGTACACCGCGCGCCCCCCCGTGTACAGTGGGGGCCAATAATCCTCGGCCGAGGATAACTAAAATCGACGTTTCGGATCAATGGAGTGAATCTTTTGTTTGCGAGGGCCTTTCATTTGAGGCAGTCGTGAGTTTGAGAAGTTTCGCAAAATGTAGGGTTTCATTTTGAGGTTTGAGATTGCGTCTCGAGGGGATTTTCAATTTCATGTCGAAGAGAATTACGATTTCATGTGGAGATTCAGAATTTCGTGTCGAGGGAATTCAGGATATCTTGTCGAGATTTTGGATGGCATATCGAGGAGTTAGGATTCCGCATAGTGGAGTTTGGAATTTTCGTGTTGAGAAAATGTAGAATTTCAGTAAAAAAAAAAGAAACATTAACGTTCCTAAAAGACATTAACCTCTTACGCGAATTGAAAAACCTAACTATTATTATTTAATCACCTACACAATTTATTTAAGCCAACGGTGCATCGCTAATAACCAGAGCAGTTGATGCGACGTTAAATAATTTAAAAAAAAAAGAAAAAAAAATGTAGGATTTCATGTCGAGGTCGAAGGTTTTGTTTCTCCCCTCTCCCGAGTACGACTTTTCCCTTCCTTGTTTCATTGAGGTCTCTAATCGTATATGGAGCGTGAATTGACGTATAAAGCGTCATTATTTATGTGAAGATATATACATTGGCATGAAAGCCTTCCCTTTGTACCCTGATGGCCCCATGTCCATGTTCATGTTCGCGAGGGTATACTGCGCCTTGCCTAGGTACAGCGGGGGACATCAATGCCCTCCCATTCTGCACAGGCGATGCCGTATCTGCAGGGGAGGCATTCATGCCCGCCATTGTACAGCGGGGAAATTAAGACGACATGAAAGTGAAATCTAAGGGGTCAATTAATTGTTCAGCTTTTCTCTGAACAGGGTGTACCGAATCATCTGGAACTTTAACACGTGATCACGATAGCCCTAAGGAAGAACGCGATATTCGTGAAATTTCATTTTTAGAACCAAAATGTTTTTTTTTTGGTTCTTGTCCGAGATAAATGGACTTTTTTTTTTTTTTGAAGAATGAAACTTCACGCCCATCGCGTTCTTCCTTAGGGGTTCCAATATCTCGCCCCCAGTTTGGAGATGACTTTTATAAATATTTTGCCGCATTATTTATAGAATGACCTTTCCATATCACTTTAATCCTCCGCGATTGTATCGAGCCACGGATGAATGAAAGCGTCTTGGTTGAATAGCATGTCAGGCGAGAGACTTTCTCTAGAAAAGCATTAATATATTATATAATGTACGATATATAAGGCGCGAAGTGCGCCTTTATCATTTCCTACATCTTTATGGAGGTCTCGGATCGTATGCGAAGCGTGAATTGACGCGCGAGGCACCTTTTATTCCGGCACATGTACACCGCACGTACAGTAGGAGGAAATAATGATCAACGACACGATCGAGTTGCGGATGACTAAAACGAGTGCCTTTGATGATCAGAGTGCATCGTTCGCGTTGGCCGGCGAGTGCCTTTCACTTACATTGCATTACTCCGTTACGTGAACTTGCGAGTACACGACACCAAATATTGCTATATACCATTTCACGATATTTAAGATCGTATAGCGGACTTTGAGGTGATGCTAACCCCCCCTTAAGTTATTCGATTCGAATAAGACACTTTTTTTTTCTTTTTTTTTTTAGTGCATTGCTAAGCGCTTTACTATTCGCTTTGCGAGAGATCTCTATCTCAAAATAAATTTATAATACGTTATAAATAGTCTAACTTCATTACGAGAGAATTAAAATAACGATACAACAACACCTATAACAACCTATAACCTACCTATAACAACCTATAACCTATAACAATTACTTGTTTCGGATGAGATAATCCGTCCGGCGCCTACCATGTGCCTTGGAGTTATTTTTTATGTTTCTTGTGCAATATTACTTATTTTGTTAAAAAATATATTGGAAATTTAAAGTATATACTTTGCAATAAACGGTCTATATAAATTTATGATAAAAAGATGACTTTTCCTATGTGCAATTACGTTTTGAAACGGAGAACTCAATTTTTCTTTTTTTTTTTTGATCACTTATACCTTTGTTATTTATGTAATTTTCAATGAATATAGAAAAATTAGCGTCACTGTTTTATTCTCTATTTTGTCCTTAATACCCTGCTTTTTGAATTATGTAAATATTGCTTTTCGTTTGGTTTTTATGAGCCTTTTTCCAAATCCTAGTAAAATCGTAAAATTCGGCCGGTTATCTTCGCATAAGCACCTCTTTTTCGCCCGGCACTAAAAGGGTTAAACTTCGTACGATCCATTTCAATCCGAGAAAGAAATCATATATCATTGATTGCTTTCAATATAATAACGAAGGTCGATCACGTTCCTCGACGTATTTCGCTTCACCTTAAAGTTCTTTTTCGAAAAATCATGGTTGTAATCGTGATTCTTATCAACTCTCCACTAAACAGGGTTAATGCCGCCGCACGTGCACCGCGCGTACAGTAGGGGCAACTAATCTCCGGCGAGCCGGCCGGTCGTGACGCAATCGAAGCAGGAAGCACTATCCGTCCGCGTAGACATCTTTTTTAATACTTGGCTGCTGAAAGTTCTACCCGTTAAGCCGGTAGGATCACTCGGCGACGTGTTCCACTCTCGGCGCCTGCATACATTCACTCGGAAATGTCAACCGGCAAACCCGCCGTGGAGATTTTTTCGTCCCCCCCTTTCCCCTTTTTACTTCCTCCATTTTTCTCTTTCCTTTTCAATTTCCTGCAGATTATACATTTTGCGCCGCGAGCAGGTAATATTATCCCGCGACACGTTCCCGCTACTGTGTACGTATTCATACATGCATATGCCTCGGCTTTAACTAACAGGAAGAGTATTATTAATTTTTACTTTAATAATACTTTTGCAACGCTCAAACGAGAAATGTCAGGTCGGAGAAATTGCTTCGACCTTGTTAAGCTTCTCTCGAAACAAACTAAAAAGGTTCTAAGGTGTATTTTTCAGTTTATACGGAAAATTAAAAGTTCTACTAAATTCTACTGTGTGCATATTCATAAATGCATATGCCTCGGCTATACTAACAGGAAGAGAATTATTCATTTTGACTTTAATAATACTTTTGCAACGCTAAAAAAAAGACGAGAAAGGTCAGGTCGGAGAAATTACTTCGACCTTGTTAAGCTTCTCTCGAAACAAGCGAAAAAGGTTCTAAGGTGTATTTTTCAGTTTTTACTGACAAAATAAAAATTCTACCGAGAAATGAAAATTTTATAATATAATAAAAATTCCGTACCGTAAAGATTGTGAGGAAATCGTGGCGTTTTTCTGTTAACAGAAGGTGGACCCCGAGCTGATATTCATATATAAAATGACATAAGAACTTTTGGATCACGTTGTATAATACAATAAAAGTGCAGTAATATAATATAATAATAGTACCGTACAGTAAAGATTGTGAAGAAATCGTTTTTCTGTTAACAGAAGGTGGACCCCGAGCTGATATTCATATATAAAATGACATAAGAACTTTTGGATCACGTTGTATAATACAATAAAAGTGCAGTAATATAATATAATAATAGTACCGTACAGTAAAGATTGTGAAGAAATCGTTTTTCTGTTAACAGAAGGTGGACCCCGAGCTGATATTCACGAAACAGGAGCGCATTGGCAAGGGCAGCTTCGGCGAGGTCTTCAAAGGAATCGACAACAGGACTCAGCAGGTGGTCGCCATTAAGATAATCGACCTCGAAGAGGCCGAAGATGAGATCGAGGACATCCAGCAGGAGATCATGGTCCTGTCGCAGTGCGACAGCCCGTTCGTCACCAAGTATTACGGATCGTACCTCAAGGTTGGCCCGAGTGTCCTGCAACCTAATGTCCCCATAATTAACGAGAAAAATGAAGAAGAAAGAAAGTAGGCTAAAGCTTAAAAGGAATGAAAAGAAAAGAGTCGCGAGTTTCCTTTCATTTTCTGTCGGAAGTTTCATTCTTGCTTCCCGCAATCAGAGATGAGCGGGGAGATGTTTCACGCCATTGTTTGAAAAGGAGGCACGGCCCCCTGGCGCCCTCTACGTCCTTTACACCTCTGTAAAAATTGGAACTACTTCCAAAGGGGCGAAATCTTCGTGATCGGTAATACAGGGTATACGTGAGTACCGCGTTGTAATCTCAATCATTTACGCATAACAACTTTATTTGGTATTCGTAGTATTCTTTCCTAACCTACGTTGACCCTGATACCAAAAACGAAAGTAAGCTAAAGCTTAAAAGGAAAGGAAAGAAAAGAGTCGCAAGTTTCCTTTCACTTTTCTCTCATAAATATCTGGGTACCTCCGAATTTCAATCCGGGTATCGTCATCACATGATGATCATGAATTTCTGTCTGGGTACCTTCGCAAATTGTGTGTTAACCGATTTTCCTCGTTATATGATGATCATGAATTTCTATGTGGGTACCTTCGTAAATTGTATGAAAATCGATTTTCCTCGTCACACGATTATCATGAATTTCTATCTGGGTATCTTCGCAAATTGTATGTAAATCTATTTTCCTCGTTATATGATGATCACAAATTTCTATCTGGGTACCTTCGTAAATTGTATGAAAATCTATTTTCCTCGTCACACGATTATCATGAATTTCTATTTGGGTACCTTCGCAAATTGTATGTAAATCTATTTTCCTCGTTACATGATGATCATGAATTTCTATCTGGATACCTTCGAATATCTATCTGGGTATCTTCGCAAATTGTATGTAAATCGATTTTCGTCGTTATATGATGATGACGAATTTCTATCTAGGTACCTTCGTAAATTGTATGAAAATCGATTTTCCTCGTCACACGATTATCATGAATTTCTATCTGGATACCTTCGAATATCTATCTGTATACCTTCGAATTTCTATCTGGGTACCTTCGAATTTCTATCCGAGTACCTTCGAATTTCTATCTAGGTACCTTCCCAAATTTTATGTTAATTGATTTTCCTCGTCACATGATGATCATGAATTTCTATCTGGGTACCTTCAAAGGAGCGATCCTTTCCGATGGCCGAAATTTCTGTTAAAAATAAAAAAAAATGGCGATCGACAGTCTGACCTCCGTTCGGGTTTCAGGTCACGAAGCTATGGATCATTATGGAGTACTTGGGTGGCGGATCCGCCCTGGATCTCATGAAGGCCGGCAGCTTCGAGGAGATGCACATCGCGGTGATCCTGCGGGAGGTCCTGAAGGGGTTGGATTACCTCCACAGCGAGCGGAAGCTCCACCGCGATATCAAAGGTGCTGAAACTCTAGGCATTTTTTATCTTAGTCGATAAATGGCACTAAGCCCTACAGGAACATGGCCATTGATCGATCTGCGGATTATTAACGAGCGTCATTAAGGTATTCAAAACATTGTAATCGGGATACGTCGAATTTCATTTATGCCTTTTCAAGATCTCCACAAATTGTTTTTCTTTTTTTTTTTTTTAATGCATGACAAGTGGGCGCGCGATACGCTGTTAAAAATGCTTCTAAATGTTCAAATGTTGATGTAAAAAAAGGTACGAAATTTTAATGAACATGCCCCCTGAATATTCGTATACTCGTATACTATTGGGTTGATACGTAATGGCGTTTGTTTACATTTTACGTTACGTGTTAAGGGGATGTGAAAGCGGCATCCGGAAGCTCAATCGTTCATAAAACTTTTCTACGGCCTGGGTGTCTCAAATCGTTTCATACTTTAAAACGTGAATATGGAGACGCTAAGGTAGGTCCTGAAACTCGCGTAATTTCATTTTTTATAAACTATTTTTAAAATACCTATAAACAAATTTGAAAAGAATTGAAATTTCATGAGTTTCAGGACCTTCCTTATAGTCTCCTTATTCAGGTTGTAACGTTTCCAACTATTCGGTAAATCGAGTTGGGAGAAAAGTTTTATAAACAAAACCTCTTCGATGCCACTTTCACATCACCTTAAGAACCCCATTACTAATGCATCAACTTAATAAATCCAATACGCGACTGTGGATGAAATCTCGAAGCAATTGTATCTTGGAAAAGATTTGACTATCCGTAATGTATATGTACTTCGAACGGATATTTTTAACAGTGTGCCTGAAGATGTACAGATTTTTAAGCTTTTTCTGCGTTTTTTTTTCAACATAATTATACGGTTCTCTTTATCTTTAGCTGCGAACGTCCTACTCAGCGAGATGGGAGACGTGAAGCTCGCCGATTTCGGAGTTGCCGGTCAGCTGACGAACACTACCAGCAAAAGGAACACCTTCGTGGGGACACCGTTCTGGATGGCCCCGGAGGTGATCAAGCAGTCAGCCTACGACTTCAAGGTGATTGTTAAACGGACGGGCACCAAATGTTGCATCGTTGAAAACTTAACCATTTATTTTCACCTGTTAACCGGGTATGAAGACATTTTTTGTCATAACAGGAAGACACCTCAACACCGCGGCTTTTTTCCTCGTGGAAACTTTTAAACGTAATATGCTGAAGAAGAAAGTCCCCATTGTGAAACGAGTTGTACAAAAGTTAATTCCTTGGTTAACAAGTTAACGGTATGATCTCAGGTTCAATTGGTACAATGTGTCCCGATTGCTCCGATCGGGTCACGGACAACGATCGATCTGTTCACCTGCTAATTGCGCGACAACGCGATGATATACAAATTACCTCTACAGCAGGGGCGGCTCCGAATTCCAGTGATACAATTTGTCTTGAATCGCTGACAAATCTTGGGAATATTTTTTATAATTTTTAACCTTTTTATTGTTTTGATTGTTTAACGGACGAACGGAACTTTGTGATTGCTCCATTCGAGTCACGGATAACGATCGATCTGTTCACCTGCTAATTGCGCGACAACGCGATGATATACAAATTACCTCTACAGCAGGGGCAGTTCCGAATTCCAGTGATACAATTTGCCTTGAATCGCTAATAAAATTTGGGGATATTTCATACAATTATTAACCCTTTCATTGCGACGCGCGGATGATTCCTCTGTACGAGATAGACTTAGGGTATATTTACTCGGAGATCAGGCAAAGCGATGTCCTGTGAAAGTTGATTGAGGTTCATTTCATTTGACAATGAGCTATGAAATTCAGTGAGGGATGTTTCAGCAGTAAAATTTCTGAAACAATATTTCGGCAATTTCTAACGATTTCCAATAATTTCTAATAGCCCGGATAGAGCTTTTAGAAATCGGGCAAAGGGATGTCCTGTGAAAACTGATTGCCGTTCATTTCATTTGACAATGAGCTATGAAATTCAATGAGTGATGTTCAGCATTAAAATTTCTGAAACAATATTTCGGCAATTTCTAACGATTTCCAATAATTTCTAATTGCCCGGGTAGGGCTTGGAATTGACAAGCAACGAGAGAGAGAGAGAGAGAGATCTTTTAGGGGATCTCGTTAACATTGTCTTTTTGTAAATTTCAGGCTGACATCTGGTCACTGGGAATAACGGCGATCGAGCTGGCGAAAGGAGAGCCTCCGAACAGCGAGCTGCACCCCATGAGGGTCCTCTTCCTCATCCCTAATAACAATCCGCCCCAGCTGACGGGGAATTACACAAAACAATTCAAGGAATTCGTCGAGGCCTGCCTCAACAAGGATCCGGAAAACGTGAGTCACGTCCGCGGCCGTTCCTCCGCTCGACGGAGCGTGGAGTACCCTTTGTTTTAAGGTGAAGTGAAACCCCCCTGAAATTAGTCGATTCGAATAATACACTTTTCTTTTAAGGGTATTGGATCGAACTGTCTGAAACTTTGATACATGAAGTGGAACTCCCCTAAAATCAGTCGATTCGAATAATACACTTTTTTTTTTTTAAAGGTATTGGACCGAACTGTCTGAAACTTTGACACGTGAAGTGAAACCTCCCTGATAACAGTTGATTCGAATAATACACTTTTATTTTAAGGGTATTGGATCGAACTGTCTGAAACTTTGAGACATGAACTGGAACTCCCCTAAAATCAGTCGATTCGAATAATACACTTTTCTTTTAAGGGTATTAGAAAAATCTTTTTTACCGACGTCGATCAAGTTCCTCGACGTGTTTCACTTCACCTTAAACAGGCGAATTGAGCTTCGTTTCTCAATCAACTTCATATTGTTACGATCCTGCAGAGGCCGACGGCGAAGGAACTCCTAAAGTTCCAGTTCATCAGGAAGGCGAAGAAGAACTCGTACTTGATCGACCTGATCGACAGGTACAAGAAGTGGAAGTCCCAGCGCAGCGAAGAGTCCGAGACCGAGAGCGAGAACTCAGATTCGTGAGTATACCCGGAGAATTCGGCTTCAGGGACCCTGTTCTCGAGTTTATACGATCAACTTTCGCGTACGATTTTCAAATGTTGACCATTAACGCGACCTAGCAGCAATGCAACATGTTTTTTTTTTTCCGAATATATCCGTACGCGAAAACAATCCGTATAAACTCTAGAAATGGGTCTCAGGAGCCTGTAAAATTGAAATCGCATTATAGTAGCTCACAGGTTGCTTTGCTCTATCTCATCGATTGTTTATAATGTTATCGAAGAAGTACCTGGATGTTTTATTTTTGATTTTAGGATATCAGGATTGCTGATGGTTTTCCTTATTTTTTTTTTTAATTTTAACCCTTTCGCTACTATGGGCGACTGTAATCGCTCGCCACGAATCTACTTTTATTTATCATGGCGTTCCGAGTCGCCCGATATGAACAGAATTAATAAGCATGTATTTGCCGATGTATCAACGTTTTTGTCCATATTGTATTATTTTTGTTGTACTTCTGCGCATTTTTTTCGCGCTATGTACTATGTTTACCAATTTAATGACTCCATGTCGATACCCTGGAGACTGTCCGCACACAATGTGTATACTTTTAGTACAGGGCCTCGTTCAGCGATGGCGCATTGGTGCGGATGATTGTCGTAGCGAAAGGGTTAAAGGGATGTGAAAGTGGCATCCGAGGGATTAATCGTTCATCAAACTTTTCTGCGAAGCTGGGTGTACCAAATCGTTTCAAACTTCACAACGTAAATATAGAAGCCATAAGGAAGGTCCTGACACTCATCAAATTCCATTTTTCATCACAAAAATATTAAGAATACCTATAAACAAATTAAAAAAAGAAAACGAATTTAAATTTCATCGGTGTCAGGACCTCCCTTGAAGCCTCCACATTCACGTTATAAAGATTGCAACGATTCGGTACACCCAGCTCTGTGACAAGTTTCATAAATGAAACCTCTTTGACGCCACTTTCACATCACCTTAAGGTAATATGAATGTGGAGGAGGAGTCAATAGTTTGTATAAGTTTTCTCCGAACAGGGTGTACCGAATTGTTTGAAAATTTCACAAGTGAATATGGAGGCCTTAAGGAAGGTTCTGGCAGCCATATAAATTAAAAAAATATATTTATAACAAATTTGTCAATGAAATTCCATGGATGTCGGGACCTTCTTTAGTGTCTCGACATTCACGTGTCAAAATTTCAAACGATTTGGTACAACTTGTCCAGAGAAAAGTTTCAACGGGAGACCCCATTGGCGCCGCTTTCACGTCACCTTAATGAGACCTGAAAGTATTTTCATGTGATATCATACGAGTCTTGAGAACGATGGTTTGACGAAGTTTTGGCAATTCTTTTTAGGGAGGAATCGAAGCAGGACAGCGACATGGACGAGCCCTGGATAATGACCGTGAAGGGTCCACACGGAGTGAAAGGAAACGCGGTCTCCTCCTTACCTCCGGATACTGGGCTGTCGACTTCCCCGACGACGATACACTCGTCGAACCACAGGACCTCTGTCCGCACCCAGCAGACCAAGCTGCACGCCAACGGGACGCCCTCGAGGTCCCCGCCTAAGGACGTCGCCGTGAATCACTGCAGGAGCGAGTTCAAGGACTCGTTACGTGATGTTCAATCACAGTCCCAAGCACAGTCTCAGACGAAGCATTCGGTACGTCAAGACGCAAGACTGTTGGACTAATTTACTATTACATTATACAGGGTGCAACCGAGGTTCTGTCCTATGGTCCGCACATTGCTATCCTTCTTGAAAGTGAAGTCGAGAATGGAATACAGAACTCTGTATTGTTTTCAAAGCGATGACATTCTGAAGAAATTGTACCGCAAGACACAGAGTCAAACGGGGAAAAAACCATGTTCGTGAAAGCTGCACCCAGGACTGTTTCCGTCCGTGGCACGGATATGATTAATCATGAAGTGGTATAAGGAGACATAATGTTCGGTTCCATAGAGAAGGTGGCCCCAGAATCGGGACTCAGGATCTCAGATTTTCGCTGATCTAACAGTGCCAGCGCTACTTGCGGAAAATGAGGGAACTCCAATCCTACACGACCAAACATTTCCTATCGATGTAAATTACCTAAAATGCTTTTAATCTCGCAATTAAGGTACCCAAAGTGATACGATAATCCGTGCATGATACGCAGAATGTGAGGTTTTTAACGTGATAGCGGACGCGCCTAGCAGACGATCCTTTTAATTGCAAAACTTCATCGAGGAGGCGCTCTCGGCACTAGGTCAGAAAAAAATCTGAACATCTTGTACCCCTAAAGTGGAGACGATTTCAATACATAACGTTGGATCTCCTTATACTACTTCATGGTATTAATTTATCTAATTACCGAGTAATCAATTGTTTTAGATATAACTTATACAGCAGGGGCGCGCGTGCGCTTTTCGTTGCTTATTCATATGTTTTGCCCAGAAAAAGTTTTCCATGAGTCGTCAGGTGAAAATTATGAAGCCGCGTTTTCCCTCCTGTATGCACCTGGGGTACTCGGTTAATCGTATCTTTTCTTGCATCTCTTTTCGTATGGTTGTGCATTGGGTGCATGTTTCTATTTTTAGATGCGTCCTCACGAGGCGGCTCCTCCACCGCCCATGCAAGTGGAGACCCGGGAGAACCGCGAAAGCCGAGACTTCCGGGTTTCCAACAGGGATCCGGCTTCAAGGGACTCCAAGGACGGACGCGAGAGAGACAGGGAGCTCGCCCGCGACAAGAGAAACAGCAAATCGGACGTGCCAGCGATGCCGCACGTCGATCACAGGACGGCCGAAGACAAGCAGCGGCCCAGGAGTTCCCAGGAGATTAAACACCCGCGTAGCGTCGCCCTCTCTGGCGTTATTCTGCCCCTCCTTTCCGAGGTACGGGCATTCCTCAAATTAATTCACGGGCCATTGTACTTATAACTTTGACTTAAGGTGAAGTGAAACCCCCTTCAAATCAGTCGATTCGAATACAACACTTTTTTTTTAAGGGTATTAGACAAAACTGTCCGAAACTTTGACACGTCACTCCTGATCATCTAAGAATTGTCCTGACACATTCAAAATTTGGATTTTTAAAAAAAATTTGTTCAACTCAGTCCAGACCTGAACCAAAATGGCGTCGAACTCTCATATTTCGATCAATATACAATTATCGAAGGCTCTGATATGAGAATCGAAAGGGCCAGGACAATTTTACGACAATTTAGAACACTCTGGTAATCGATAAACTCGGATTTGAACGGGATAAAGGCAAAAAACGTATTGTATGCGCTTCTATGCTAAAACGATGGTAATACGAGATCTCGGAATGAAAATTTAATTAACCTGGAAATCGCAGATGGGGCAGGGGGTCCCTCTGCAGCCACTTAGGGCCCCAGAAAGCATGAATTCAGAGGATTTCTGGAGTTTTACTTCGCTTTCTTTATAATTATTATACGAAACGACAGGAGGAGTGTGCCATTTGGTACAATACTCAATATAATTCGACACAGCTGTCAATATAAAAACGAACGTCGGCAACGTAGCTATTTAGAAAAATCCTACTTATCGACGTCGATCTAGTTCCTCGACGTGTTTCACTTCATCTTAAGGTGATATGAAAGGCGCTGAGTAATTTAATTGAGGTCGATAAATTAAAATTCATCTATACCCTTTTTGGTGGTAACGTCATTTTGAATATTCAAGTGGGAACGTAAGCAGGCGCGTCACGTTACCGACATTTATATTTATGTTGAAGTCTTTTACAGTCCACGGTGAGAATTAAACAAACTGAAACGTTCCATATGTCATTTCGGTAAAGTAATGATGAGGAGATCGATGTAAAACTGTCGAAATCCCTCGAATTCATTATTCTAACCGACTGTTTAGGACCAGCGTCGTCATCTGTGACATTTAGCTGCAACTAAATGTTTGCTCTGAAAACACGTGTCAGCCACGAGACAAGCATTATGAGCGTATTTCTCAGCCGCTTGAGTTCAACGAGTGTTCATTTTAAAGATAAAACGTTGACGTGTGTTTATATGGGAGATATTTTCGATGAAGCACCTCCTTCCTAGTTAAAAGAACATTGAAATTATGTCGTTGCACTTTTTTTACATGAAAATGTCCACTTATCAAAAATCGCTCCCATATAAATACCCGTCAAGATTTTATTTTGAAAACGAGTACTCGATGAACTCGATCGGTTGAAAAATACGCTCAAAATTGTTGTCCTCGTGAGGCCCTGCAAAAACGCAGAAGTAGTGAGCGCCCTTAAGGCGATATGAAAGAGTCAGCCTATATATATCTGAGAAGTCAAATCGTTGGGGAAAGTATTCTCTGAATTGAATGTATCGATTCGTTTGAAATTTTGACCACGGGAATATGGAGGTCCTGAAACTCATCATATTTCATTTTTCATAAAAAATGTATTTATTTAGGACATGGATTAGAACCAACATGGCGGGGTCCGGGCACGTTTTCGATGTTTTACACTTCTTGGAGGCTTAGAATCGAAAATGAAGAGTTTCAGGACCTAGCTCGAACGATTTAGAATACCGTAGAACTGGAATATTACAGAGTCAGATGGGGAGTCAGATATGTTTAGCCTGTGGCTAACACGTGTTTTTAGAGGAAAAATTTAGTTGCAGCTAAACGTCACAGATGGCGACGCTGGTCCTAAACAGTCGTTAGAATAATGAATTCACGGGATTTCGAGGGTTTTACATCGATTTCTTCATCATTACTTTACCGAAATGACATATGGAACGCTTCATTTCGTACAATCCTCAACGTAGACTGTAAAAGATTTAAATATAAATGTCGGTAATGGGACGCGTCAGCTTATGTTACCACTTACGTATTCAAAATGACGTTACCACCAAAAAAGGTATAGATGAATTTATTAGGGTGTCCCATAAGTTCCTTCCGCATCGTGTATTCATGTCCTATGAAAAAAAGGGAAGAAACTTATGGGACAACCTAATAAATTGATCGACCTCGATTAAATTTCTCAGCGCCTTTCATATCACCTTAAAGGGAATATTAATACGATTCGTCGTAATGTTCTAGCTACAACGGAAGTACCAGTACTCCGCGAGAGACAATAACGGCGAGGGCGGCAGCGGGCCAGGTCGCAACGGCGGGAACGCGATAGACGAGCTACAAGGTGCCTTCGAGCTGGCGGAGCGTACTTCACCGGGGATGTGCGAGGCCCTCGTCAGGGAGCTCCTCAAGGCCCTGCTGCCTACGAACTATTCGGACGGACGTTTATCCATGCTCATGGACAAAGTTACTTTAAGGTACTGAGGAGTGCCGCCTCGCGTTTACCACGTAGCGATCCCCGCGGCCGCGGGTCCAGGACGTGCCCGGCGCCGCCGTCCGGGACCACCGACGTCATCCCCGGACGTGGCGGCGTCAGCGTTCTCGTTCTGTCGTAGTCTTCTTGGTACTCCCTTCCGCGTGCCCGCTGTGCAGAGGAGAGGCGTGCCGATTTAGTCCACCTCGCGCGGTTCCCCAGGGTACCGAAAAGCCGTCGCATTTCGTGCCGCAACCATTGAGTGTCTCGAAAACCCGAGTTCAAAGATGGCCGACCTAGCAAGGTGCCGATTAATCGTCGTCGAGCGGACGCTCGGACGTGGTGACGTTCTAGGAATGTTTCTTACCAAACTATTCGGCGTCCGAAATCTAGAAGTCGCTTCAACTAATATTGGACGTCGGACTGATATCGATGCTTCGATTCCTGTTCATGGAGCTCATAGCGCACGAGCGTGGGCAAGGTCACGCGTAAATTCGCCTTTAACCATGTATGTGTAGACTTTGCTTTCCAGCGGAAAGAGTCAACGAATGTACCACGGGATTCGATCGCTCCCTCACACAGTTAAAAGCATTCTGCTTATTGAACATTTGAGAACGAGGGGCCTATGCAAAGTCTTGATATATATGGTCTGAGGCTGACCCTCGGATCCGCCATCTTGGAATTTCTCTTTCGAGGCGTTTGTGGGGTTGTCGGATGTGGCGGCTTTTCTTTCTTACGAGATTCTGGTGAATGAAAACACGTGTTCATACCGTCAGATCGACCCTCAAAGGCAGAACCTGGCACGCGGGAAAACGGAGACGCGTCCGATGACATTGTAAGGTTGTTACAAAACCGCTGCTTATTCCGAATACAAGTCGGTCGACATTCATTCGAAGGATGGTCCGTTCCACTCGGCACGGATTCGTCCAGCGCATGCGCAAGGATCAGTTTTTGAGAGTATTCAGGATATCCAGAATATCCGGAGAAAATGAAACATCGTCTAGCGCATGCGCAAGGATCAGTTTTTGAGAGTATGCAGGATATTCAGAATATCCGGAGAAAATGAAACATCATCCAGCGCATGCGCAAGGATCAGTTTTTGAGAGTATTCAGGATATCCAGAATGTCCGGAAAAGGGAAACATCGTCCAGCGCATGCGCAGGGAAGTTTTTGAGAGTATTCAAGATATCCAGAATATCCGGGGAAAAAATGAAACATCGTCCAGCGCATGCGCAGGGAACAGTTTTTGAGAGTATTCAGGATATCTAGAATATCCGGGAAAAACAGAAACATTGTCTAAAGGAAGTATTTCAAACCCTCAAGTGTTCGGCGATGTCCTGAAGCTGACAAATGTCGAGGTTCATTTTAGGGGCGTTTTGTGACGAATGGGAATTTACGATGTAACTTTCTTTTACATTCAGGGTAAACTTGTGTGTCCAAACCCTCGACGGATGTTAAACTTTTGTGGTATCGAATAAAAAGGTGTCAATTGTTTCAAGGATGTGCAGACATTGAGAGACGTCTTGGGGTGTAATGCTGGGGGTGAGATTTAAGGAAGAAGGCGTTAGATACCATTACGCTCCAAAGGAACACTTGGAAGCGTTCCTTGGATGCGTTTTTAAGAGCGATGCCGTGGTGCTGACCTCGAGAAAGGCAGCACCCGACTGACATGTAACTCTTATCTGAAGGGATTTGTAAGTAATTAATTATATACCATGTTCACTGGTTAAATTACTATTCCATTATTTCCAAGATTAGTGCTGCCGTCATAACGCGTCATGGTGGACATCTAGGACCTAAAGTCATGTCCAAAAGGAGGATAACGTGGTCGTCGACGAGTTAAAGCGAACCTTGATAAGAAGAATCATCTCTCGAGCAATGTCTTCCCTAAACCCTAATCATCCATTAGATGTTAACAAGTGCTCGCATCGACAAACACTTTGAAACGGACGTGTATCCTGATATCGAGTGATTATATCTTAGACGTTTTGGGTATTGTGGATGTTTTGGATATTCTGGATATTCTGGATATTCTGGATATTCCGGATCTCCGCTAGCTGTACCTAGGGGTAATTTATCTTGTATATGGGTTGACTCCGTAAACGGATCATCGGGACGCTTAGCGGAGCTGGATAAAGCACCGCTTCGAATAGTATTTTTACCCAGTTGTTAATTATTGCTATTCCGGTATCGAATGCTATCAACACTCGGACCGGTCTTTAACCAGCTCTGGTTCTTAGGCTCCTGGAAAAGCTTCCCCGGAACCTGCCGCAAGTCCCGTGGACGATCCCGAGTTCCCGTCGATCGAGCTCGGACTTCCGGGGCCCTTTTCGATCGGCAGCTTCCCTCGAGTTTCCGCCGGGATTCCTACACGACCTCTTCCAGCTACCGGATGCTCGAAAAGGTCGCTGCACCGCTCAAGGGGGTTCCTAATTAACTACCCATCGACTAATTGCGTTTATCGACATTGCAGTTATCCGTCATTCCTCGAAATCGATCCACACTAAGGCCGTGTCCGAATTCGTCAAAAGTTGCATCTAGGATATACTAGCTCCATACTACTTCCGCTCCCCTTGTTACTTATGCGCATGCGTCAAAAGTGGTAGACGGAAAGTCGCGACGATGTAACTTTCTCGCAACTTTTATCCCGCCATCTCGTAATTCCGACCAATCGTCCGATTCGTCGCCGACATATTGTCAATTTTGAAAATACCAACAATCGTTTGCTTTTATATGTAGTTGGATTTATCGCCTTTTCTAATGAACATGGGGCAATATAGTACCAGCCGTACAGGGGCCCGATTCTCGAGTTCATACCGATTTTTTTCCCATATGAATAGATTCGCATGATATATTTTGCATACGAGTAGTAAGACCAACTCTTGAGGACTCTTCGAATTGGGTTCGTGCGAATTACTCGTACGTAATCGTATGCGATTACGAAGCAATGATGCCGCTTGTCTGTGAAATGCCCGAACCAATGAAATGTTCGCTTTAGCAATTGTTTATTTTTATTCGTGTCATTCCCTATATGGTTATATTGATCTTCAACCCCTTCATAAAAACCGATAGTTTTGTATTATTTTCGTATACGAATTATCTCTTTCGCATGCTATGACCCATGCGATGTAATTCCCATGGTACTATTCTAATACGAAACCGCGGTGATCACTGAAGAATATCAACTGTTGAATGTCGTATACGAAATTGTCAATTTGGTATGCGAAAGTTGATCGCATACAGTCGAGAATCGGATCCTGGGCTCCAGGAGCATTTCATTGTTTTCGACGAATGTTGTACCAGGGAAAAAAACGAAATCTGCCGAGAGTGAACAAAGCAGATTCTCAAAAATAATGACACAAATTGGGCACGCAGGAGACTATTAATTTTGTACAGCATATTCCAATGTTACGTGAAATAACTAATTATATGATGCCGGCACAGATATAACGGGGATGATTTTAATAAGCAATCGAAATTCATTTAAAATCGGCGCGAATTAGCCGACACACTTTTGCGCGTGCGCGTAAGATGCGTGCAAAAGATGTCGAGTCCCAAGTATTTAGTACGTAGTGTACACTGGGAGACATCAATGCCCTCCCATCCTTCACAGGCGATGCCGTATCTGTAGGGGAGGCATTTATGTCCGCCATTGTACACTGGGAGACATCAATGCCCTCCCATCCTTCACAGGCGATGCCGTATCTGTAGGGGAGGCATTTATGTCCGCCATTGTACACTTGGAGACATCAATGCCCTCCCATCCTGCACAGGCGATGCCGTATCTACAGGGAAGGCATTCATGTCCGCCATTGTATGTACATACAGTAGTGTAGTATATAGAGTATATATTAACGTACTAAAGCGAATTCGAACACAGCTTAAAGCGACTCGAGGCCTCGCCAAATAAATCCTACCGGTTATGGGGAATTTAACTTTTGGAGCTCCGTCAAGAAACTCGGTAGGGTTTCGAGCCAAGTACGTCACCTGTATGGAAAGCTTGACTGAGGAAAAAAGAAATTATTCGGACGTTTCCGTAGAAGCCCAGAATTTATGGTGACGCATGATGCTCCCTAAGTTGGCTGACGAATGGCAAGAGTTTAAGTAAAAGATTGCATGTACTATCTACAGGGTTGGGTAATTCTCCATTATTCGAGGTTTTTCACGTATATTAAGTAGACAAAGTAGTTTACCGGAGAAAATCCTAGAAAATCGATAAATTACGTTTCCAATATGAAGAATATCTGAACGATATACAGCATTGACTAGGTTATAAACGTCTTTTAGCACATATGTAAACACGGAAATATTTTCAGGAACAATTAATTACTTTACCGCTTGTATTGAATATTCTTTGGAATTTTACGTTTTCAATATGGCGGATTCCACGGATGCATGATATATGTATTCGCAAGGTTGATCTGGCGCTTGTTTTTAAAATTCTTTTGATTTAAACCTGGTTCATATCAAACTTCACTCTGGAGTTATTATTTTATATTTAGAAATTGAAGGGCATGGTATACTTTGCGCTCACGTAGAAAACTAGAGACGTATTATACGTTGTAATATACACGTAGAAAACCACGTATATTACATGACGTATTGTACTTATCCAACCCTGGTTGTCTAACAGCATCTCATATCACAGGAGGAAGAGAAACACGTATAGAAAGATAAAGAATGCATTATCATGCAAAATTGCGCTGATTTAAATCATTGGATTAAAATCACAATGAAAATCGTCGATTTTATATATAACTAATTTTCACTTTTTTCTCTTTAAATAACGATCAAAGTCGTGGATTTTAAACCATTGATTTTTCTTTTTCGAAAACCATGTGAAATGGAAATGAAATGTGAAATCGCACGATACTGTGTATCGTGCAATACAGCGCGTCATTATTATCATCTGTTTTGAGTATTTGCAATTACTTTTATCAAGAATAATATGCAAACGTGTTGTAAAGAGACGCGATCGCATCCCTAGGATCTTGCGAGTTAAAAACTGACATCAAATGTTTGAAGGAAAATGTCTGTTTACAAAAACTAAATAATCCTTACTTATTAATTATAACCAGAAAAATATTTCCAGTCGCATGGTAAACATATTAGACTGAAGTTAACTATTATGTTTAAACGGAAGTGCTAATTTAGATGTTTTTCGAATGCCCTGTCCATTCCTAGTACTTGATATACAATCGTGTTTGAAGAAAGTAATTTTTTTTACATCTGTAGACGATGCTACAGCGCACAAAATAGGAATTATCTAACCGTAGCTCGCTTTCGAGTAATAGTGATTTAACCTCATCATTTAAACCAGGTTATTATGTGTATAATTGGAATATTTTGAAAAACCTCAATCTCTTTAAATCAGCGATTTTTTTTCAGAGAAATGATTCTTATCAACCTTGCTATCATGTATCACCACGAGATTAGAGGAGACGAAAAGATTCGTCTAACACCGCGATTCGTTGGCCAATAATAGTTAGTAACATACTACATACCATTATTAGTACGTTATTAACTATTCAGCATCAAATCTCCGTATTCTTCTGCACTTGGATGGGAACTTTTGAATTCTTTGGCGAAGTGCGAATCAACAATATTCATCATCTGTAGCTTTGAATGCGTGGTAAAGAAGAGATTCTGACGTTTCGTTAAAAAACATCACACAGAGAGAAAAGCCCGTATGGTAATGTTTCGTTAAAAAGCGTCACTTAAGAGAACACAGTGACGTTTTGTTAAAAGAAAAATGTCACTTAGAAGGTAACCCCTGTCGTGACAATAAGTTATTAATACATATATTATTAGTATAAAACAAAAGGTTAAAATCTTCAGAAATATCCTAAAAACGTTCACGCAGCATAATAATCATAGCTTGTTGGAATTACTGAAAATAAGATGAATATTTAAAAAGAAAAAGAAATTAAATTCTCATAAGTTCACATGAAATCGTAGAGAAGTTAATCAGCGGTTATATTCTCGATTATATTACCCAGGTAATATAACGTATTGGTCATTCTAATTCTGTGACCGTGGCTTTGACGAAAGATAGGAAACTGCAGTGTCGGTAAGTCTTGTGGGTGGGTAAACGAATTTCGAGACCCCCTCTAATAAGGAAGGTATCCCAGGTCGATTGCTCTCCGATTTCATTTCTTTTATAATATGTTATAGTAGACTAAAAACTAAGCGACAGGTATTTTTTTTTATCTGCCATTAAACACTTTAAGGAGGTGAAACCACTATCCAAAGTAAGGCCTGTGACGGGTGGCTCACCCCTTAATTTTTTTTTTTAATTGAGAAAATTATATTTTTCATTTCTCGTTATGAGAAAGCTTTTCCAGGTGGATCGGTTAAAAAATATTATGTTCTTGTGGGTGAAACTGCCAAATCGCCCCTTGACATTCCTTACATTGGATGGTGGTTTCACCCCCTTAAAGTGTTTAATGGCAGATAAAAAAAAATACGTGTCGCTTAGTTTTTAGTCTACTATAACATATTATAAAAGAAATGAAATCGTAGAGATCGACCTGGGATACCTTCCTTGTAAGAGGTTAGTTGCTCGCAAGTGGCGCTCGCGTAGGCGCGCGGATAACCTCCCCCTCGCGCATGGGGGAACGCGAGAAAAACGTAGAGAGAGTGTTTTTGGATTAGTCACTTCGTCCTACCCCGGATTTTAGAGAGAGTTCTAGGTTACGCGCGAACTAGCCGCCACCGGATGGCGAGAGGAGTCCCTCGTTCACTCGCTCCAACATTACGTATGTGTGTATGTACTGCTACCTACTATCCATCCAATTACCTACCTAACCTAATCACGTATACACACACTCACATACACACGCGACATACACTCATCACCTTACCTACCCACAGGCCACCCACGGTGTATTTGGCGTTATGGCGACCCGACCGGTCGGCGTAGAGTATATACATATATTTTTTGTATCTTACTTCCAACCTTGGCTGCGTTGAACTGTATTATATTGATTGTATGCGGCATGCCGAGGGCGTGTACAAATACGAGGTAATAATTAACGCATTGAAAAAGAAATAAAATAAAAATAAACAGCGATCGATTGCGGAACGTTGCCTAGGAACTTCGACCCTCGATGTCCCGAAATTACTCCCTTTAAGGTGAAGTGAAACACGTCGAGGAACTTGATCAACGTTGATAAAGGAGATTTTTCTAAATGCCTACCTTGCCGACGTTCGTTTTTATATTGACAGCTGGGTCAAATTAGATTGGATATTGTACGGTCCCGTGGATTACGTTATCTTAATCGATATAATTATATTTCAATTTCCCTCCTTTTTGGTTGACGACTTGGGCCTGGACTACGATTCATGTTGGTCTCGCTTTTCGAGCTGGCAATACATGACAAAATACGAGCGGTTAGCAATCCATACCTACATAGTCAAAGAGCAGTCATACCTATATAGTCAAAGGGAGTTCACACCTATGTAGTCAAAAAGCAATCTATACCAGAGATGAGTTGGGAGATTGCTCACGGGCAGGATCGCGCGATCGCATCGTGTGCTGCCCTCTGATTTCGTACGTTAGCTTTCACCATTTTTTTGCCCCCAAGGGCGGCGCAACGAATTTCTGGTAGGGGCCAACTCATCTCTGCCAAATCAGAGATGAGTTGCGAGATTCACGGGAAGGACGGAGCGACCGCGTCCTGTGCGACCCCCGGTGCAGGATGCAGACGGCTAATGCACTTGCCACCTGTTACAACTCTGGGCAGCCAGAGAACCGGCTGAAAAAGTGATGAACTCCTCACAAAGACTCCAAAACCCTGT